AGAAAGACAGATGTAAACGAACTAAATTTTGTCTTCGGCAGACGCTTCTTCCTTTATTCGTCCGAAATTAATATTCTGCGTTCAGCAGTATAGGCTAAATACCAAATATTTATATGTTGCATCGCTAATTTAGTAGCTGCAATTGCTCTTTATTTTTTTAAATTAAATTTTTTTAATTATAATTTTACAGTATTGAGCACAATGTTGTATGCCTTTACAATTTAAAAACTCCTTGAAAAAGTTTTTCTTTTTTTTTGCAATAACGAATGTGCCTATTTGCACAAATTCACAAAAACGGACCCTGGTTGATAGAATGTGGCTTAACCTTTATTTTANTCTTTACAATTTAAAAACTCCTTGAAAAAGTTTTTTTGCAATAACGGACCCTATTTGCACAAATTTACAAAAGCGGACCCTGGTTGAAAGAATGTGACTTAACGTTAATTTTATATTCACAGATTACGAGTAATTTTTTCACAATTTTACAAAAACGCACCTTTCACAAAATGTCTGGATAGACCCCTGACAATGGTTACACCTATAGAATTTTTACCTTTTACCAAAGTTCAAGGTTTTGGACACTTTAAGAGAGTTTTACCCAGTTTAGGACAGTAAAACCCACGTGTCCTGTCCAAAACCAGTTTAGGACGTCCAAAACCCCAACCCTGGTTCATACGTTATTTTAATCGTGATGATGTGTCCTAACTTTCCTAGAAGTATGTAACAACATTTATGATATCACCTATTATATATTATGCTTCCAAAGGTTGTTTATTTAAAAAAAAAATGGGCTGATAATAAAAGTTTAAAAAGAATTGTCGCTTGGAGAGATGAACCGATTGAAGATTTGAAATCAACAAAGCAAAAATTCTGTTAAAATTTTGATGTACGTAATTTCTTGGAGGAAATAAAAGAGCATTGAACAATTTACAAAATTTCAAGTTTATGATAATTATCTAGCTTTTCAGAAATTGAATATTCATTGTCGAGAGAGGCTTAAAAAGTTGAAGGTTAAATTAACAAATTTTAAAAGAAAAGTTTCAGATCAGCAAACTGGTTTATATAATTATGAATAAATATTTCTCAATACTTCCTCATGCTTAGAATGAGTCAATTTTTTTATTCAAAATCATTTTGAACATAAGTGTAAGTTCATCTCCTTTGTGAAAATAATTGTAGTTAAATACCTTTTTAATAAAGTAGTTATAGTAAACTACAAAAATAATGTTTTTCCGACCTATCTTTCTATAAATAATATGGTATGGGTTATCCCTTTTTTTTCAGTGAAAATAACATTTTAAGTAACAAAATACTCATTGTTAAGCATGTTTTTTCAAAATCCCAGAACATGTGGGCTTAAAATAAAAAACAACCCAATTTTGCCTGGGGATAAGTGAGTTTTTTATGAAGAAACCCAATTTCAAGTGAAGAGTTTTTTCATGCTCTACATACATGCTTAGTAACATATTATTTTGCATGATAGGTATGAAGATGGGTTTTTTCAAGTGAGTTTGATCCGAAAAAAACCATTGGGTTTTCTAGGTTAGGCCTTTGCAAACTCCGTTTTAAAAAAGATAGTTAAAAAAATGTTTACTTTGTTAGATTTGTTTACATTTTCTTATATAAGTATTTCAAAGTTGGATGTTTATTCGAGTGTACATATTTTTCTATAAATATGTTGTGATTTTTGTCCTGCACTGAGTGTTGTGATTTTTGTCCTGCACTGAGTGTGGTTATTAATAGCAAATGTTTTTGTTGAAAAATATTGATGTTAAAGCTTAAGGAAAAAAAATCAAAAAAAGTCTTTATTTAAGATTTAATATTTCAGTTCAAATATTAACATTTGTTTTAATTTTAGTAATTTTTTATTCTTTGTATAGAAATACTTAAGACTAATGAAGGATTATTAATCCGATAATTTGGTTACTTTTCTGTCGTTCGGGTGCAAGCAAAACACCGAAAAATGAGCACCACGAAACTTTTTTTAAAATAAATTTATTTTTTATGCACATTAAATTATATAAAATAAATTTAACAAAAAAAGATTAATTTCCTTGTTTACGGCTAACTGATCTTATCTTAACGACATTTTTTCCCCTAAAGGTTTGGGCTTACATTAAAGGATAATTTCAAGAAGTTTTTTTTATTTTCGAATTCAAGATTTTTCTTTTTCGAAGACTTAAAAAAATCTTTCTCTAGACCTACAGTGGGCCAAAAAACTTTTAATGATTGGATCTTCAGGATCTTGGTCTTCATCTTAATTCGTTTATCCAAAGATGATTCCATGAAAAATATAACTTTTTGTAAATATTTATTATTTTATTAATTAATAGTTGAAAAAATGTTGAATTGTATGGCATAAAATTTTTTACATAATTTTAAAGCATCTAAATTTGTTAGGCGAATTACAAAATTTGAACGAAATCGGTGGAATAGTTCCTGAGAAATTGATATTGATAAACACAGCTTCTTTAAAATTCACTTTCTCAGAAACTATCTGACCAATTTCGTTCAAATTTTGTACTTTGCCGTTTAAAATTACATTCTGGCAAATTATGTCAAAAATTTGATACCATACAATTCAAAATGTTTTTCGAATCTTATTAAATATAATAGAAAACAAATAATAAATGTATACTACATAATTTTTTTTTTTTTTGCATGAAATTATCTTTGGATAAGTAAATTTTATAATTGTGCGCGCTAATTGTGCGCGTTTTTTAAATTCGCTTAAAAATTACTTGGGCGCATGGCGAAATACGCAAAAAGTAAGTTTAACATTATGGGTTCAGAATTTTGGACTGCTCTCCAGACCGGACTACTAGGACAAAATTTCCTAGATTGTGACTGCCCCCTATTTGAAAATTTTTTCGTGCAATTATAAAATTGATTTATCCAAAGATAATTTCATGCAAAAAAAATAAA